AGCGTTTTACACTTAGGTCCATCAACGCACACGCACTTTTTCAGTGTCTTGTTTTGCTGACTTCTAACATACTCTTACCGCTTGCCTTCAACTGAAGCTCCTCTTGGATCATCTGTACAGTGGCCGAGCATTCTGTACTTGCTGTTCCGTCAGGTTAAGCGGAGGAGCTTTTTCGGGCCGGCAAAAATCTACGGCGCCCAACACCACGTGGGAGGTTTGAATGGTCAGAGAGGAAGACTGCTGAGGTTGGAAGGGCATTTTTCACGTGGCTGGCTACTCACATTCACAGGGCCTGGCGGCTCTCACCTCGCTGACCCCGGTCAGTCAGTCTTTTCTTTATCTGTTTGATTTCTTCATTAGTCTGTGGGATACGTTTCCCACACACTGTTTGAAGATCAAAGAAACTTGGGCAACCCTGCCTCTGAATCTTCTTTTGAGATTCACTCTGCATGTGAATTTTGTTAAGCTTCCAAAAAGTTCTGCAGTAAAGAAACCTGTTTAATTTTGTTCAATCTAGTGGTTCCCCAACTTGAAGTTCCACCTCCCTCCCACCCCCCACCCCACTGCCCTCAAACACACCAGGTCAGCATGATGTCTAGGGGTGCACACTGTGGGAAAACCTGCCTTACTCTGCCAGAAAGGACTCTGTATTCCTTCTTACTCTGATTTTGGGCTTCTTTTCAATTCTTTATCCTTTCCTTTCTTTTTTATGAATAGTTTTATTGGAGTATAATATCCGTAGCATATATTGTATCCATGGAGTTTACAATTCCACAACAGTTAGTACATTCACAGTGTTTTGCAACCATCCCCACTGTCCAGTTGCAGAACATTTTCATCACCCCAAAGGAAACACTGGAACCACTGTCAGTCACTTCTTCACATAGTCCCCACCTTCTGGCAACCACCTTCTGCCTTCTGTCTTTATGGATTTGACCATTCCAGGGACCTCATATAAGTGCAATCATACAGTATTTGTCCTTGTGTGACTGGCTTATTTCACTCAGCATAATGTCTTCAAGTTTCATCCATGTTGTAGTGTGCGTCAGAATTTCTTTCCTTTTCAAGCCTGACTACTATTCCATT